TAAATGTAAGAATACAGTTCCAGTTGTAACAGGTTTTGTGTTAAAACAAGCTGGATATAATTTGGGGGGAGGGCCAAATCTGTTTGTATAGCTATAAAGCTACCACTGGAAAAATACTTTGTTCTTCCTTTATCCTTTTAGTGACATTTTAATGAGAATTCCTCACTTACAAATACAGCTATCTGGGCATGTGTGAAGGACTATATGAAAAACCTATTCTGACACTACCTGCTCACAAGCACCACAGGGTATGTAAAACAGCTTATTAGTTTCTTCACCGGTGAACATTTAACCTATCTTGCTCTGGATAATTTAACAAATTGGCATATTTCATTCTACTTTAAGCAGCAGTGACCATTTTTGTTTTGATGTTATCCTAAAAGCTCACTGAAGACCACCAAAAACATATTCAGCTCCACAAATGTGGATCCATTCTTCCAAGTGAAAAGGAACAAATTTAAGCCACTGAAGAAATTTTTGATATATATATATAACAAGACCAGAAAAAACATCCCTTATTTTTAGTACAATCTATATTTGTGCATCTCAGGTTGCCTATACCCATTTTCCCAGATAAGGAAGTCAAATGGGATTAAATTTCAATGAGACAAAACTATTAAACTAGTTAATACAGCCTGTCTCAAAGAGTGGAAAAAAAGACAAAGACATTACAACTGATTCCCACAGAGACTAGCAAAACCCTGAATAGTTTAGGTTACCTTAAGTGTCCATCGGCGAACAAGTCTGAATTATTTAAAGAGGCGATGCCTGGTTACCTTTATGCAGGTGTTACATAACTTGATTACTGTATCTGGAATCTCCCTGTGCAGTCTGAACACAGCATTCAATTCCTGTTAACTAGGAGGAAGTGTTACCCAATCTCTTTAAACTCTGCACACAGTTTGACAGGCCAAGAAAAATGCTCTAGGAGACATTTCTAAAGAAAGGACAAGACCAGGGATTAAGTAAAATCGGCCTAGTTAAGGTACTGTGCTACTAATGCTGGTTATCATTGGTAACCTTAACCTTGACAAACCGAGCAAAGCAACAAGCCACATGCTCAGCGGTTAGATTACGATTACAGAGCTCTCATTCCACCTTCAAGTCGTGTTTTGAAAGGAGCACTTTGTAGCGAGAAGAACAAGAACCTGCCAGACGTATTCGTCGCGGCCTCCACACTAAAGCGCTCTGGCACCAGCCCCGTCCCAAGGGGCCGATAGAGCACATTGGGAAAAGTTGACAATGAACTATACTGGGGGGTAAGATGTTTCTATCTAAAACAAACTTCGAGTTTCACTCACCGCATCTATACAGTAACATGTTTAGCAAAAACGGGCGCATTTCCAGAGTCCCCCCACCCCACATCCCTGCTAGGTCCAGATCCTTCTCTAGACCATGCCAGTGGTATTAATCACGACTTCGTAAGGGGCTGAGTGAGTTACATCCGAGACATTTTCTCACGTTAACAGTAAAAACATGCTCCACCCTACACACGGTTGTTAAAGCAATCGGGGAGCAGCCCCGTCGCAGACTGGATGTCACAGGGGCGAGCGCCCACCAGGGCCGTTTTCTGTCGATAAAATCCGGTTTAGAGGGCCAGATTGTCCATTTCTTTCCTTTTACTGCCCTAGCGCAACGTCGCCAGCAGCCCTTTGTGATGTGCTTTCATGAATTATTCGCCCATTCCGTTTTTGCTCAAATGCGCTGTAGCTACTTGACACTGACGGGACCCGTCAGAGCCGCCATTTTAAAAAAAAAATAAATAAAAAAAATGCAATGCGGTTCTTTTAACAAAACAAAAAGAGATAAAGAGAGACATGCGGCCGATTAACCACTTTGTCCCAGGGAAAGGGCCACACGTACACCCAGAACCAACATCGCCAAACCAACAAAAGAAGCCTCCTCTCCGGTCACGGCTGCCGATGAGGCAGAGAGCGGCCCCGACCCCGCGATCCAGCCGGGATCGCTGCCCGTACACCGGCACCCCTCCCCGGCCAGGACCACTCGCCCTGGGGGCCCAGGGGTCACACTGGCAGAGCGATTGCCCGGCCCCAGCAAGGGGGGAGGGGGGGAGAAAGAAAGAGAAAGAGAGACGCCGGGTTACATAACATACAACGAACGGAGCTCAAACCGAGCGGCCACCATCTTCCCACAAACCAGAAACACACCGCCATTACACGCCAGGCAGGGGGCAAGGCCGGGCCTGGTGGTGGTGGTGGGGGGGAGGACAGCTGCCTGGGAATCTGCCGTGTCCTGCGAATCCCGGCTACGCCGAGGAAACCCAGCGCCAGCGCGGCGCCGCAGCGCAGGAAACGGGCCACACCGTGGACCAAGCCGTGGACACGATTAACCCCCCCCACATCCACACACACACACATCACCACGGCCAACACAGGGCTTGCGATCCTACTTTACCTTGTGGATTCGCTTCAACGCCATCTCTCTCTCTCTCTCACACGGGTCGGTTACCGAAGGAGCAGCAGCAAAACGTCTTCTCAGTCCAAATCGCCAGCGGGTGTGTGAGTGTTGAGGGAGGGAGAAGGTAAAAATAAAAATTAAAAAAAATAAGATGCCACGCTTTCGTCCCCGGGGGGCCCACTCTGTTGGAGGCGACCACAAAAAAGCCGAAAAAAACCGACAAACCACTCTGTGATCACCAGTAGCTGGCCTCAATGATCACTCGCTCGCTCCCGATTACAGCCGCCGGTCCTGCCAGCTCCTCCGTCCCTCTCCCTCGCGCTTCTGCTCCACAAGATGGCCGCCGCGGCCGGAACTACACACACCCTGCTGAGCCGGCCCACCTCTGCCGTATCACTCCGCCCCTGCCGCACCACAGCGTCAGAGAAATTAGCCCCTCTCTTCTTCTCTCTGACGGGAAGGACACAGCTACAATACTAATACTGTTTTCTCTTGGATACTTTTGGGAAAGGCAACCCATATTAACTGTACATCAGCGTCACGGCAATCCCCTGAACTAATGCTTTCTCCTTTCTAAGAACCCATGTTAAAATATTTTTCACAGGTCAATCAATCTGTTACATATATAACTCAGAATGCTTAAAATAAGATAAGGTCACTATATTAGCCATATACAATTTCTTGCATTAGGATTTTGTCTTTTCGCATTACCCAGCTTGCTGTGCTTGAGACACACAGGCACACAGACGGGCAGAGAGAAGCTTGGGGTCAGAGCGCATGGTCAGCCATTTATACGGCATCCCTGGAGCAGTTGGGGTTAAGGGCCTTGCTCAAGGGGCCCAACAGAGTAGGATTCCTCTGCCAGCTGTGGGATTTGAGCCGGCAACCTTCTAGCCACAGGCTCAGATCCTTAGCCACATTGCCACCACTCTGCCCCATATTCTATATGCTTATAGAATAAAATAACATTGATCTATCTTCAAATGGTTTTATCTAACACAGGATAGCAGGAACAGAAGCCTATCCCAGCAAGCAAGAGGTGCAAGGCAGGATGCACCCTGGATGGGACACCTGTCCATTACAGGGCACACAAACTTACACACACTTTGAAACTAGGGTCAATATTCCCGGATGTGACTAACCTACCAATATGTCCTTGAACAGGAGCACCCAGAGGATTTTTAATGACCACGGAGAGTCAAGACCACGGTTTTATGTCTCATCCAAAGGACAGCAGCTTTTTACAGTATAGTTTAGAATTAGTGATAGCATCATCAATAACAAATACTAAACCAATTTTAATTTGATATTATGTATGGATTTTGTGTGTTTGTGTAGTAATGGTGTGTGTGTGTGGGGGGCTGTTTATTGAGAGAGCACTCTGTAAAAAGAAAAGCTTGAAATCCCTGGAATACAATGAAATGGAGTCAACTGACTGAAGATTCCTAAGCAACCTTCACATAGAATATTATGAGACCCCCCAGAACAAATGCTTCTTTTTGTGAATCAATTTTTAAGGCCATTTTCAAAAACAACATACAATCACAATACATTATATACTCATATATAGTAAATGGACCACATAAAAAGAACAACATAATTGACATAACGCTAATTCAGTTGTTACATCCAGATTATTTGCAGCTAACCCCTCATTATGCTCATTGTCCTTCCTGTCACCAACCACATTCAAAAACACAAAACGTAAAGCACAATTCTTTCTTCCATTTCAGTTGCTTTCCCTAAAGCTATTTTTACTTGTTTTACAGGTACAGAATAATTTGTGTAAACGTCACAGTCACAGTCGAAATGTTGTGTTTCTTTTCTCTTCTTTTCGGCATGGAATAAACCCATTACCTGTTCCTTAAGTTGATGCCATGAAGGTAGTACAGTATGTATTTTTAATTATGTAGCTGATTTAAAGAATGTTTTACCTATAGATTTACATTGTGAAACCACAAATTTTTCATAGGTGTGACACCTGAAGAAGGCTCCATGGCCGAAATGTTGTGTTTCCTTTCTTTTCTTTTCAGGATGGAATAAACCCGTTACCTGTTCCTTTGCAGCCTACACATGCTGACACAGATAGCTACTTTATCTTTATTAATACAGACATTAAAGAGTACCCAATTTAACTAGCTAGTGTCATTCATATTTAGGCATAACCTTTCTCACATTTTATAGGAAGATCTTTTTTTCCTATTGCCCACAGACTTCTAATTTTGTTCTCCTAAACACTAATAGAAAATAAGATGTGAAAGAATGTAAAACAAACCTCCTTGAGTATGGCCAGCAGCCATATCGCCCTGCAACTCACAACTGGCAGCCCATTGAAGCTAAGCAGGTGTGAGCCTGCTGGATGGGAGACCTCCGGGGAAAAACTAAGGTTGTTGGTGGAAGAGGTGTTAGTGGGGCCAGCAGGGGCCAGCACCCTGTGGTATATGTGGGTCCTAATGCCCCAGTATAGTGACGGGGACACTATACTGTAAACATGTGCTGTCCTTCGGATGAGATGTAAAAACCGAGGTCCTGACTCTCTGTCCTCATTAAAAATCCCAGGGCGTTTCTCGAAAAGAGTAGGGGTGTAACCCCCGTGTCCTGGCCAAAATTCCCATTGGCCCTTACCAATCATGGCCTCCTAATAACCCATATCTATGAATTGGCTTCATTACTCTGCCTGTCAGGGAACAAGTACCTATGTGCTTAGTAATAATAATAATAATTGCTTACACTTATATAGCGCTTTTCTGGACACTCCACTCAAAGCGCTTTACAGGTAATGGGGACTCCCCTCCATCACCACCAATGTGCAGCATCCTCCTGGATGATGCGACAGCAGCCATAGTGCGCCAGAACGCTCACCACACACCAGCTATCAGTGGGGAGGAGAGCAGAGTAATGAAGCCAATTCATAGATTTGAGTGATACCTAGACAAGAGACCATCTGGACTTTGACAACAGCGTATTTCAGTAATTATTCTAATAGCTGAAATTCAAAAGAATGCCAGTCAATTTCTCTGCATTCCTAATTATGAAAGAGTGTGTTAGTTGAGCATTATTTCTCAAGTGGAGAACGATTCATAATATTGTGACAAATAGAAATGTAACAAAATGGAGAAAGACTGCCAGACTCCATGCTACTATTCAATGTTACTAGAATATTTGATATTGGCTCAGCAAATGACAAATAAAATGACAAAATAACACCCCTCCATGCTGTTGGACATGCTATACAGACTTGTTTCAATTCATACCAGTTCTTTTGCTGTGGCTTTGTAGTGTCGGGTATCGCCACGTTTCTGACTTTTGATTTTTGAATCCAGGGTTTTACCAGGACATAAATCTTCTATCTAAACATCTGTGAGCTCCCCCCTCCCTTTATAACTTTGAGAATTTTACTTAGGGAATCTATCATTCAAGACTATGCCTTATGGAGTAATTTTCAACAATTAGTATGGCTATTCTCTTCAAAACCATAATGCCATCTAAAAATAATACTGGTTGTGACCACATAACATTCTCTGTAACGAGTTTCTTTCACCTCCTTTTAATGGACAGGATGGTGTTTAAATATACTTTAGGTACTAACATCAAAGCAGAAGATATTCACTTTGGTTACAACAATGAATTAAAGCTTATGGCTGCAGGGTTACTAATATAATGTTTTCCAGACAGTAATGGTTTATTCTTCTTTCATGAAGAGATGAATGCCTTTTCTTCCATGTAATAAAACCATGAAAAGCTCCCATGTGCTATCTGCTTTTAACAGAGGGTCTCATCTGCTCTGCCTTCTCTTCCTCCTTGAAATTAGGTAATAAACTGTTTATCTCCTTTTTATTGCATGCTGTTTGATTGGAAAGGAAATATTTCTCATATCAGGCTTTAAATTTCAAAGATCCAGCAATTGGCAAACTTAAAAAGGAGCACACAATTTTTTAGGTTGTACTACAACAAAGAAAAACATAGACACAGAAAATATATAAATATTATTCATAATAAGACTTCAGAAAAATATATCATGGTTGACAATCTGCCTACACCGTATTGTTTTAACAGGAACCCGGCATGTTTTCCTTTTATGTGATGTGGGTAATCATACAAATTGTTTACTCGTGATGTGTCATTTGGTTTATAAGACAATATTGCACCAAAAGATAGCAGAATACAAAAAAATCAATCCAAAATATGTCATCAAGCATTTGTTTGTGAAAGACACGGAGCTTTGTGACATGTGAATCTGATTTTTCAATATATTCATTTGTCAGTCATTTTTCCTTTTTATTATTATTATACTTTCTTGGTCCCTCCCAGGGTGAGACCTGTCCTGTGCTCTCAGCTCAGCCTTGTTCCCATGTATATGGATAGGGTTACTACAGTATGACACTCGTCAGGACAAAAAAGCTGATAATAATTGATGGATTGAATGGATGGATGGACTGAAACTGGATAGCACCATTTTTACAATATTATGTGAATGATATAGTTTGTTGGCTACAAAGCCTTCCATCTATCCATATTATAGCCACTTCTTCCAATTTAGACTCTCAGGGATAAGGAACAGGCATAAAACAGGGTGCACCCTGGATACAACACCACTCCAGACATAGACACGCTCACACCAGGCCAAATTGTCCAAGAAGCCAGTTCCTACCGGATTGTAAGAAGAAACCACAATACCCAGAGGAAGCCCACACAATGCACAGGGAGAACACACTTCATGCAGACAACAGGTCCAAGGTCCAAATTGGAACCCACAAGCACAGCACTGTGACACCATGCCACCCACAAGGGGTATGTCTACTTATAAAATCATAGACTGTTATCATACACTGTAAGTGCTGACAGCAGCTTGAGTAGAAGCAAAATATGAATGTTATAGTATATTGGTTTGCTTGAGGAATCCAAGTAGTTCAGCTTTTTCTGCAGAGCTACAAACCCTCATGTGGCAATTTTGGACAGCCCATGAACCTCTATATCTCTCCTCGCCTTGCTTTTTTCATCTTGTTTCCTGTCTCAACCACAACAGCTTTGAAGCAATTTGGTGTCTGTAGTCCACTGCAGGCTACTTATCCACCTGCCAGCAGACGTATCACCCTGCAAATCACAACTGGCAACCCACTGAAGCTCAGCAGGGGTGAGCTTGGCCAGTACCTGGGTGGGAGATTTCCTGGGGAAAACTAAGGTTGCTGCTGGAAGAGGTGTTAGTGGGGCCAGCAGGGGGTGCTCACCCTGGAGTCTGTGTGGGTCCTAATGCTGACTCTCTGTGGTCATTAAAAATCCCAGGGTGTTTCTTGAAAAGAGTAGGGGTGTAACCCCAGTGTCCTGGCCAAATTTCCCATCA